AGGGATTTGTGGGGCAGATAGTTGAAGTGCGTTCTTTCCCTTGAGAAGTCAATAAGGAAGGTGCTGGAATATATTTTCTGCCCTTTGAGTATCTTGCAGTCATAATGTAGGCATAATGGACCTGAACAGCGTAGGTTGATCTCCTTACTCAGCACTGCCTGAAATGCTCCAGAAGGGAGGTGAGACCATAAAGGAAGACATTGCTAGAATTGTTTTCACACTGAGAGCAAATTCAGGAGTTCCAAAGTACATCTTGGAGACTTTACAAAATAATTTGCTGAAGTAGAATGGCAAACAATATTCCCTTTTCCCCCCTAAATCAAGTGACCTGAGGCAGACTAGTTATTATGGTCCCCGGAAAGAAAATTGCATAGGTTTTTTTGCCTGATAGTATAAATAGAGTAAACAGGTAAACCAGATCTGCTTTCCATCAATATTCCCATAGAAAATCCAGAGATCCAGATCTGTTCATCATTGAACACAGATTCCTAGGTGTGCTAGGTGCTTCCAGGGAAGAAATGGCAGACTGAAGGCAGTTTTGCTTTTTGTGGAGATGATGATTGCAGCAGAACAAGGAGCCAGCGAACAGCCTAGCACAGTGATGGCGAACCTTTTAGAGACCGAGTGCCCAAACTTCAACCCAAAACCCACTTATTTATTGCCAGGTGCCAGGTGGGCATGGCCTACTGGATGGGCATGGCTGTGGTTATGGCAGATTGGGTGGGTGTGGCCAAGGTAGGCATGATCACCTCAATGTTGCTCATGGGGAGGGACACCTGTGGGGGCCGGGCAGGGTTGGGGGAGATCCAGGGGGTCTTTGGCAGGTGGGGCGGTGGGCAGGAGGCTCGTCCTGCGGGATGAGGTGAGGAAAGGTGAGGCAGGGTGGGGGTGCCATTGTCACAGGGCAAGGTGAGGCAGGGATCGGGGCGGCTGCTGCCTGACACCATCAGCCCCTGCACACAGAGGCTAAGGAGCACATGGGTGCTGGGATGCATCCAGCCATGTGGGACCTCGTCCAGTTAGTGGGTGGCTTGTTGAAGAGGGACAGTTGCCATCTCCGGGGCATGGCACGCGTGCCCACAGAGAGGGCTCTGAGTTCTGCTTCTGGCACGCGTGCCATAGGTTCGCCACTACTGGCCTAGCACCTCAAAATTCCTCTCCGATTGGGTTCATCCACCTGCGTTCCATATACAGTAGAGGCTCCCTGCAAGAAACAGGGGTCTCCAGCAAGCTTTAGAATTCTGGGAGCTGAGGGAAAGACAGCCTTACACAAGTATGGTTTGGATACTGGGTTCACTCATTTCTTCTCTTATTGCTTTAGGAAATCGCTTGCTAACTGCTTTTTGTGTATTAAGAACTTTCAGAATGACAGGTTTCATCATACCAGGTAATTTTCCTTCAATCCTTAGCAAAAGAAGTTTCATATAAACTTTTTTTTTTTAAAAAAAATCTAAAATAAACAGCAAAAGGGTGATTAGAACATTGATTTTGGAAAGTTCTCAATGCGGTCAGATGGATTGGTAATAAGATTTTGAAACTAATTATAAGAATCCTTCCCATGAGTTGTTTAAAATCCTATTAAAAATATATGAAGATTTTGAATTTAACTGTAAGAAATCTTCCTATGGGAAAATTTTGTAGATTAGAGAAAAACATGATTAAAGGAGACTTTAAAAGCTGGACACTAGCAGTAACTAGAATGAACTAAAGATGATAATTAAAGAAGAGACTCACTAATACAGAATGAGAAAAGTAATTCAATTTTGGAAGAATTTGAGGATATTTCCGAACAATGCATTCAGAAATTTCTCTTTAGATGGTCTGCTACCATAAAAATGGGCTTAAAAGAGGAGATAAAAGAGAATATAACTCAGAATCATGTTTTAGATTTGAATTTTAAAATGACAAATTATGATATGGAAAAAGATGTTACATTGGATTTACAAATAAAACTGGCTGATATCTTAATAACTAAAAGAACATACAAATAATAAATCAGAAGAGTGACTTGGATAACTTTCTTATCCTGGATTTACAAAAGAGTTGTGCTACACTGTTGAAGGAGTTCTGAAGGGGGAGGACTGAAAAATTATCAGCTTTTGGGATACTGTTGGGATGCAGGTAATAAGCTCCAAGATTTTTAAAAACAAAAAGAAGGAATATAAAATTGGTTCATTTGATCAAGGTTAAAATATATATGTTTTTTTTTTTTAGCAGCATTAATGGGTTTTTCTTGACTAGGACTGAATGATGAGGCTTTAAACATTTGTTTATAGATGTAAGATATGGGAAGAAGAGATGCTTTATTGAAATGTTAGAAAAGACGACAAATTACTGGAATTGTTTATATTTGCCTTGATAGAGGGGAAAGTAATTTCTTTATATTAAAAAATAAGAAACAAGAAAATAAACCCGGCTGCTGTGACTCAATTTCCAGCCAACTGTACCTGGATGACTGAGAATCTTCATTGACATATTGCCACATATTTTGGGGAGGAAACCCTGAGATTGGTGCCGGAGGGGTTGGTACATTCCAATGATTCCCTGCCTAACTAACTTGCTTTGACTGAGGAAGCTGCTTGGATGAACCACAAAACATCTTAAACCAACAAGAAAATAAGCCATGATTCAATTTCCAGACAAGTCTACCTGGTTGACTGAAGAATTTGCATCTATTTCTTTATGTAGTTTTTTTCTTTATATTTTTTCCCCTTTCTTCGTTTCTCTGCACTTTTTAATTTTCTTTTTTATCTTCTTCTTACTTTGCATTAATTTTCTATCTTTGTATTTTTAAACTTTAATAAAAATTATTATAGGAAGTGTGTTAAGTGCAGATCAAGATATAGCTAGACTCTGATCACTTTATTCTCTTTCCACAATGTTGATATTTTATTCTCAGTAAAAAAAAAAAAGTGCCATCTGCTCTTAAGAAACAGCTCAGTTAAGGTTACTGTACTCTTTGTTGAGCAAAAACCTTAGCTTGCTTCTAGGAGATATTACTGAGAAGATATTAAACATATTGCTGATTTGTTCAGTGTTCTGAAGGATTATAGGCAATTAATGTAGATGATTCAGAGTCATATATAGTGGAACAGCATGCTTTGCTTCAAGAGGTAGAGTTAATTGATCGGTTGGCTGAGCAAATGTAAAAGTGATTTGCTTATATGTTCACCAGATCTTCCTCCCTAGCATTGTTTAAAACTGGTCACCTGTCCTAAATCAACACTTACCCAGCATTACAGTTGGGAAAGACACCTTAGCTTAGAGCCTGAACTGAATATGGTTGTGAGCTCCACTCACATTAGATGTCCGATGAATATTTATTGCAGAAAAACTGTTGTTCCTAAGGAACTGAAGAGGGCAAAAGGAGTGAAACAACCAAGCTTTGGGCAGTTAAAGTTTCTTCTGTTCCTTTCCTGTCAAGATTTGACCTCAATTACTGTAAATGTTGAACATATAGGAAACTGGAAAAGTCCCAGATCACCCAATTAATGTAGATTTCTCTACAACCAAGTACACACACGGAGGGATGTGCCCATGGCTCTGTCCTAGGCCCCGCGTCTTTCAACATTTTCATCAATGATTTGGATGGTGGTACTGGGAAAACTCTTATGAAATTTGCAAATACCACAATATTGGAAGGAGTAGACAATGCCTTAGAAGAAAGAGAAAAGTGTCAAAAAGATATAAACAGTCATGAACAATGAACTGAAATGAACAGAATGGAACTGAACAAGGACAAAGTATGATGTTCTGCAACTGAGGAGGAAAAGTGCAAAACACAAATGTGTACAGTATGGGAAAGAGCTGATTTATGGGTAGGCTGGAGAGACATTGCTTGGAATTGGGGGGAAAAGGTAGTCATTTCCCCTTGTCTTCTGTGATCCTTCTTGAAAAATTGCTCTCCAGCAGGGCAGTTAAAAGTTTTTGGAACCAATGAAAGCTTTTAGGCAATCCAGTTGGAATAGGAAGGGATCTGTGAGGGATGCATGTATATATTCTATAAGCAGCCTTCTGCTGGGAAAGCAACATTTGGATTCCTGCACTGAAAAGGCCTAAAATAGCTCCTTCCAGTTCTGTGATTTTGTGTATGAATGTTTGGTAGCCTTATTATGAAAATTTCCCTGGGAAAAAAATATGACACATTTAGAAATAATTATTCTAAATTAAAATAGAGATACTAGGCACTTTCCAAATTTCCCTGAAAAGAAATATGGCACATTTAGAAATATTTATTTTAAATCAAAATGGAGATACTATGCATTTTCCAACTGTGGGGAGCATAGGAAACAGACAACTGGGTTGTCTGTTTTCCTCTCCAAATGCTGCCTGTTGATGGCAACTTTGAGCCTCTTCTTCCTTGAAATTTCAATCAAGATTGTGATTGGATAGCAGACTCTACTGGAAGAGACATAACCACCCTCATTAACTGCAGAAATTACATTCTGGTATTTTTCAGCTATGCCTCCTTCACAGTTACTTCCTGGATTTGTTTTCACACTTTTAATTTAAAATGCGGTAACTGAAAAGATGGTCTCAGAGAAAAGCCTAGAGTATGTAGGTGTCAATCAGTATTCCCAGAAGAAATCTATCTGCATGGATGACATAAACAGATCATTAGCTCTGGAAGATTAAGTTAGTGGTGATGTAGTCACACGTATTGAAAGAGGACCATGAAAACCAGTATTCTATTTGCAGGGAATTCTGATGAACAGGATGGGAATTCTGGAGGCAACTGGGACTGCAGAGTAGGGAGAAGAAGGGCAGAACAAGCAGCAATTGAGAATCATCTCAACTGGAGATATCCAGGGCTTCCAGACCGAGACTCATGATGTGTCTTTCCCCCCCCCCAAAGATTTCAATCCGAATCCTGCTCTTTTGAATTCTGCTCATGGCACTTGTTCTCCCTCAAAGCCCAACCCTAACACTGACCAGCCTCTGGTCCCAGAGCAATGGGAGAACTGGACAGACTCAAATCCTTGAGCAAGCGTCAACCTTACCCTGCTTGATGAATCGGATGCTGGTGTGGTTGCTGCCTCTGGAGCAGGATCTGACATTGAGTCCGGTTCCTTTTTGTCCTCCTCTTCAGGTTTGGCTTCTACTGTTGTCATTGTGAGGAACCCTTCTTGCAAATTACTGTTCAAAATGGGCTCCTTCCTTACCAATGAAGCTCCTTTGCTCTGGCGTTGATTGTGTGGGATGTCTCAGCACATGGACTTTGCCTGCCCTCTGGCTGCCCTGATCCTGCTTTAGTGATTTATACGGAGTGGCAGCACTAAGCCCCCTCCTTGGCTCAAGGCCACACCCCCAGAACGATCCCACTCTCTGCACAGGGATCAAAATTCATATTTAATAAACACAGGCATCCAATCTGTCCATCAGGTCCCAATAATCTGCATAAAGATTATCCTGAATAATTGTAATATTCTTTATTAGGGACTGTGGATCTATGTGCAGGAGGATGCATATCTCTGTGCATAGTTGCGTCATATTACAAAAGGAGTACTCTTGATTTGTAACACTTCCAAATCTTATTTTGTCTTGGTCTTGTCCTGATCCTAAGAGAGTCTGAAGGCATTCCTTGGTGGGAGATCCAATACCTTTGGTTCCCAAGTGGGAAAATTCCATTGCTCTGCTTTTGGGGGTTTGTTTGTTTGGCTAGCAGCTGTTAAGATCTGGCCCTCAAGCTGACTTACAATCTTTGGCTGTACCGCCAGGTACCAAGTCTTATGATTCCATAATAAAGGGCTATGTTTGTAAAGCAAAGATAAAATTGCCAACTTCCCTAAAGTGTAAAAAGTCACTGCCAACTTTTGTTTTGATATTTGGCCTGGTATGTTAACAAATCTATGGCACAATCATAGCAGGAAGAAAGTAATTGGCCTGGATTAGTTGGGTGGCAATCAAACGGACTCCTGTTCTCACTTGGTAATTGCTTATCAGCAATCTGAACACGAACAGGTCACTTCCTTCTTCCCATGCTTACCCACCTTCTCTTTCTCCTGCGCATCTCTATTATATATTAATTAAATTAAATTAAATTAATTAAATTAAATTTAAATTTTTCACTGAAAATACAGTAGGCCAGCAACACTTATGTTGCTGTCAGATTTAAACCCAGAGCATCTTCTGAAACACAAACTTCCTTGTCTTAGCCAGTAGAACCATTTGATACTTCCTGCCTTTCCTTAGTGGTGCTGGGTGGGTGGGATATGGGGATAAATAAATCTAGAGGAGGAAATTTGTAGAATCAGCCATGTACTTTGTCATGTATTTGCAGACCAAAAACCAGCATCAGGGGGGAAAAAACCAGCAAAGCAGATGAACTACATGCCCATTGGGTAAAATAACTAAATGTTGATTTTAAATTGTCTTCCATGATCTTTAGATGTTTGTGACTATGAAAATTAGGGAAGATCTATAGCAGCTTTTCCCAATCTGGTGTCCTCTAGATATGTTCTAGTCCAGGCTGAGGAACAATGGTCTATGGTGGGAAAACAAAGACAAGGACAGAGGAATAGAACAGAGGAGACTAGAGTTTTCTGCTGCTGTTGTGTGAAGAAGTACTGGTGAATGTCAAAAGTCAATTTGCTTAGCTGGTTGGCTCTGGAGGTCAGCAAGTGGCAATTAACCTTGAGGGCAGGGAGATGCCAGAAGATTAATACAGCTTTGCAAGCTCGGGAATGGGACCTTTTACTGCCTCTAAATTAAAGTGGAGACATATTGCAACATAGGCAACATGCCCAGTCAATCTTGGCATCAGAGCCCAGGGCAGGTTTCCATAACTGGGATAGGGAGCGGGGTGTGTGTATTAACCCTAATGGCAAACCTATTCAGGGAGAGCGATCAGGATTAGGTTCCACTGAGGTACCACAGACAGATTTAGAGGATGGAAAGCCCAGAAACATCTGGGGAGGTGCACCATTACTTACAGAGAACAATCCCTTGGGGGTCCTGGTGCCGGCATAGCGGATGCTGCTGTCATAGTCTCCAAGAAAGGAACTGGGAAGAGCCTGGTAAGGGCGGCCAGGCATGGAGAGGGCCCTGAATGAATATAGGAACAACTTCCGTGGACACTTTGCATTTCCAAAGCTGCTTTTCTTCTTCATCACCTAGGGAAAGGAAAGCCATTGTGGAGGGGTGGTTAGAGCACTGCAGCCTGAGTGAGGAGACTCTGCCAGGAAGACTCAGGCTCAAGTCCCTGCCCAGCTAGAACTCTCACGGGATAATTTTGAACCAAATCTGCCTTGAAGGCAAAATTGGAGGTAGTGTTCTGGCAGAGAAATGCAAAGGGCAAAGAAAGAAAAGAAGAAATTGAGGGAGGGAGGAAAGAAGGAGGGAGGGAGGGAGGGAGGGAGGGAGGGAGGAAAGGGAAGGGAAAGAAGGAAGGGGAATCAAAATGTCAGCTGTGAAAATAGAATTGATGAGGGTTGATACCTGCTTACCTTGCCTCTCCCCTTGACAACCTATCTACCTCCTGCTTTTTCTCCAGTTAGAAAGACCTCTCCCTCTTCCAAATTGTCACTGCCATCTTATGATTCTGCCATTGTGACCACTAGTGATAAAGAATGGGCTTTGAAATACAGCTCTTGCTTTCTGCTCCCTGGTAAAGCACCTGCAGCAGTTGGTAGCCAAATCTCAGTCTATAATCCAAGTGGAGTGACTCTGGAGTGCTTCTTCTGTGAAAAGCTTTCTACCAGATCAGATGTGGCCTCACCTGATGGCAGATGATCTGACTCTGAAGTGACTGCCTCAAAACAAAACATGGTTGAGACAGATCAGGATTAAGAGCACTGCTCAGACCTGCCACACTTCTTTCTAATGCCAATCTCCTTGTCCTGGATATTGTTTCAGGGGATGAGCCCAACGCACCTGACAAGTCTGGTTCATCCCTGGGAAACTGCAACACGTAAATCTTCCTCTCTGAGGCCAACTGGTTCCTTGTGCACCATGTGCAACGTGCTCAACCCTTTCCTCCCTTTCAGTATCTGCCACGGATGGCGGATAAGTCATTGCGCCAACCGAAAGGACCTATGAAATTTGGCCCTTCTCCTTAAGCCAAGCACAGAAGTTCCCACTCCAAGCTCCCAGTCAACCTGATCTGCTCCCTTACCTGAGATGCTCCTGACATCCACTTCCTGTAGAGGAGCTTTCTTCTGAAACTCCTGCTTTCTGGTCCTTTGTATGTGCTCTGACTCCTTTCTTTTACACTAGCAGGAAACCAGGGCCCCTTGGAGTTCTGTGGGCCTTGGGGCCTTGTTAGCACAAGCTAGTTTGGGCCTTTCCCAACACAAGTTTCTATGACTCCTGACTTCCTTGGGGAGAGGCGGTAAGAAAGAGAGACAATTGCAATTAGATTGTACTATGAAAAGTAGCACCTGATCTAAGTTTAAATGCTCAGTCACTTTTGCTTCTTTGGGGTGGGTGGGTGAAGGAGCATTAGAAGTAAGCTGTGAAGGATCTAAAATCTCCCAATTGTTATCCTCTGCAATAAAGAAAAAGACAGTAGAAAAAGACTGGCTTTGCCTTGAGGGGAGCAAAGTGTGAGTGCATTGCAACATTGGAGGGCAGACTTGGTTTGGCATTAGAGGAGTTAATCCGAAGGGGTTGTGAAAAAGTGTGAGAAGAGAGAATGGAAGCCCAAAAGTGGAACCAAATTAGCAAATGTTCAGATATTTGCTTTTTTTTTAAAAAAATGTACCTACCACTATTAGCATAAATTCAACAGTGTTCTAGTGCTCATGTTCTGCTTGCTTGCAATGTCTTATATTTTGTACAGGTTTGCCCGATTGTGTCCGTAACCACCTTGCAGAATGACACAACAGAGGGAGGCATCTTCACAAGAGATTTCAACATGGGAGTCAGATGGGTCCACGGATGCCTGACTGCTTACCCCATCCTTGTTGGCTTCCTCGGAACAGGAACGGCGACCCTGTGATCTCAATACTCTTCTTGATGTGTGTGTGAGATGATCCCAACAGATTGTCCTTCCTTCTCTTGGCAACATGTAAGACTTGGGCCTTTCGCTGGTTTCTTACTGATAATGAAAACCTTGACTAAATGGACAGAGTTGCTTTCCTGCAAGGTTCCTTCACCCAGGAGCAATGCCCAGGCATACAGAAGCCCACTTTAGAAAAGCAAAGCAAATGGACAGTTGCCCTTAAAAGTGATTCTGAGGAAAATGGGGACTGCTTTTTCTGTCTTGGAATGCTGTAATTATAGGGGCAGAAAGGCTTTAGGGCAGTGGTGGCCTATGGCACGGGTGCCAGAGGCGGCACTCAGAGCCCTCTGTGGGAACGCGCGTCGTCGCCCCAGTTCTAGGCCGTGTACAAAAAAAAAAGGTTCAATCAATCAGTCAATTTCAATTTCTTGCGGGAAAAAAAAGATCTTGCAATTGATTGAACTTTTTAGTCCCACCCAATCTGCTGTTACCACCACAGCCACGCCCACCCAATGGGCCACACCCACCCGGCACCCGATGATGCATAAGTGGATTTTGGGTTGCAGTTTGGGCACTCGGTCTCTAAAAGGTTCGCCATCACTGCTTTAGGGCAACTGCCACACTTGTAGGTGTTAACACTCTGTTCCATTTGAGCATTCAGCTCAAGAATCAGTTTTGTGATAGCCCCTTTTGTAAGTTCTATGTTAAAGTGCAAATTTTGGGTGCCAGGGAATGTCTTGCAAACAGTTTGCATGTATGTTAAAGGGGACTTCAGGACAAACAGTGCTTAATACTACCCATACACTTGCAGCATTTCACCTTTTCCTATTGAATAGATTTTCTGTGAGAATTTAGTTCTTCCACAGAGGCATCCTTCCTGTTCCAAGTACAGCAGAGTAGCCTAAAAACTCTAGGGCTAAACGCTCTAATTCAGGTAATTCCCAGCAATTCAACTCACATCTTCCACAAAGTATCTACAACTTTGCAGGGATGTGCAATGCCTCAGGTTAGTTCCACAGCTGACCATTTTACTGCAGTGCGACCCCAACATTTTGATTCATTTAACAATTGAATAAAATAAATAGCAGCAGTTTTGTTCTTCTGAGAGAAGCAAGAGGTCCAATTGTTGAAGCGGCCCTAAATGATGAGATCCATTCAATGTTCTTCAGACATTTGGCTTGAATCAAATGGTGTCCAGTTAGGGAAACACACAGAGGGTAGAACTATCAATGGTTGGTTACCAGTCACAATTGTCACGTATTGCTCTGATATCTGAGGGAATAGGCATGCAATGCTAGTTGCTGGGCTTGTGATTGGGAGGTCTCAAGGGAACTGGTTGGTCACAACAGAGAGCAGGAGACTGAACTACACAGCTCTATGGTCTGATGTTAGAGTTGCTCTTATGATTAAAAATATCCATTTTTAGTGAGCAATGCTAAGATGGTTTTATCCAAGGTATTTTCAGTAAGTGCCTACCCCTGGCCTAGAGGTTTAATGATTATTTCAAATGAATGTGTGCATAAGTGCCTAATTATATGCAAAATTTTTATAGATTTTTTTTCCAGGACATCAGGAGTGGGAACAGACATGTTCCTTGCTCTCTGTGCAGTCAGTATTTATTCAGTGGTCACCCCCAATCTACTTCGTTCCTTTATATTCTATGTAGATGCAGAAATCAGGTGTACGTCTTAGAAACAGGACCAACCTATGGAAATCCTATTTACCAATGAATGTTACCATCTGGCTATTCTTGGCTGCAGCTTCTCATCAAGTTTGCTGCAATGTAATAGACAACCTCAGTATGTTGCGGTCAAGCTCTGGGAAATCCAGTTTCCAGAATTCCCATGACGGCTGGGCCTTATGGGAACTGAAGTCTAAAACCAGCAGAGGAAAATAGATTGGGGAAGCATGTTGCTATGAAACTAACTCAGTTGCCTGCGTTATAGGTCTGTCTTACAGATAAACTCTTTTGCATTGACCATTTCTGTAGGTACATACTTACTAAAACAAAATAAGTATGTTTAGATTATTTTATTATTTTTATGTTTGGCCTTCAGAAACCGTATGCCCTGAATGCAACAGAAGGAATATCTCATTCATTCAGACACATAGGCCAAGGGTAGTACACTGAGTAAAATCTGGGAAAGAGGTTAAAAACTAATTTCCTCCCATTTAACAGACTCAGCATGCAATCCTTTTAAAGTAGCTTAGTTCCCTTTCTGTAACAATAGAAACTCTTAACATTCACAACTGAAGACTATAAAGTATTTTGATAATATTTGTCAAAAAATACCCTGCCTGTAAGTGCTGTGTTCAACTGACATTTTCTGCCCCCTTCTCGTTTAAGCCACTGCAATATTAATTTAAAATGGGGTGATCAAGCAGGGCTTAGATCACCTGCTATAGCCTACTTAAAGGTAGTTAAACAAGTGGTATACCCATTACACTGCTTCCTGCATAAAAAAGAAAGAAGTGTTATTACTCATTGGATCTCAACTTTTCTTCAGCACCAGCAGGCTTAGAAGTGGGGTTGCTGGATCTTGTCCAGTAATTAGGAAATGAGGTTTAAAAGCTCAATTCATCCCATAAACAGATGGGATAAGGGTTGCTTGCTAAATTTACAATGGCACTAGGAGCTAATTGCATAACTCACAAAGGTCTTCCAGCTACTCTATGCTTGCATCTGTGGGAGATTTCAAGAAGCACAGCCAGGGCTACAGAGCCTCACTACTACTATAAGACAGTGAAATTCACCTGTGTTTTTCTGCCAGTTTTTCATTTGGAAGAGAATTTCTTTTAGAAATGTTTTCAAAAGAGAGGCGTAATTTGGAAAAGGATTTAAAGGAAGTATTTCTGTACTTATTTAGGGACAAAACGAGAAGGATATTGTGCCAATGTTTCTTGGTGCTAGAATCTTCCCTGTAGCTGTCTGGTCTTGGTTAATCATATAGATTTCCTCCTACTGAACTTTCCCACAGCGATATTAAAACCACTAGCAAAGGGAGTCCGGCTCTTGAAAATGTGTTTGACTCTTTTCTTTGCAAAATGTCAGAGAAATTGCCCACTATCAAGACATTTGAAACTGTGTGCTCAGCTCTACTGTCTAAGTTTTCCCCTGCAGCAGAGGATGAAATGACAAGAGAAAATGGAGCCAAATTAAGATGAAAAAGGCATTGCTCCAAAAACATACTGCAAAATATGCGTGTGATTGATTAGTGAAGCGCTTTTTCAACAAATGACTCCTATTTCCCCCAGAACAAAGCCTGGGGGGATTGGACTACCACTACCACCAGCCCAAACTATCCTACTGATAATCAGGTTATGAAAATATTTATCTCTCCTGCCCTAGAGCAAAGTTTATCGAATTGCATCATATGGAACCTAAATGGGGTTCTTTGAGAGACTAAGAACCAAAAGAAAAGAGGAAAAAAGTTCACTTTAAATGCAACCATTCTCCATCACTAGAATTTTTCCTCTTGCTCAGGGGTTCTTAGAACTTTCTTTTAAACAGGTTCTGTGGCCTTAAAAGTTTGAAATTCCCAGCTCCGGACAGCATTCCTCTCTAGCATTGTATATAATTTATGGCTTATATACAGGCAATCATGGAAAAATATACCTTCATCTACAAAAGATGCTGCAAGTGCACAAATGAAAATCTATAAGCTTGTTCAAAAGACTTAAACCAGCTCGTTGGGAAACAAATATCTTCAAGCATTTCCATTTTGCTTTTCACGGTCATTTTCTTTTACCAAGCCAGAAGGAGAACTGGAACGTATATATGACTCCTGCCCTAGAAGCTTTCGGCAATTTAGGTACATAAGTCATTCTAAAGCCATTTATACCACAGCTCTTTCCTTGCTGCTCTCCTAGGCAGAAAAGGCATCTAGATGGGGACTATCAAAGAAGCATTTTAGCACCAATTTGTCCCTCTGTCTGTCTCTCTCACATATCCCCTTCTTCCAACCCACTATCCAGCTCAACACAGCTGCTTTACAGTAATTATCCAAATGGACAGTAATTGCAATTAATTCCCTAGCAGGAGTTGGGACTTAAAGCTTTACACAGGCAGATTGTGCGGGGGTGTCCCCAAAAAATCTGTAGCAGGACATCATATAAAAATGACTTCTAGGTTACTGAGATCTCAACCCTTCATCACATAAGAGTTTGCCAGGTGGAAGTACACAAAAGCTATATTATGTACTTCTGAATCTTAAAAAAATGAAGTCTCGTCACAACACAGAAAAAAACCCAGAATCCAACTAGCACAAGTGTTTCTCAACCTTGACAATTTTAAGGCATGTGGACTTCAACTCCCAGAATTCCACAGCCAGCAATGCTGGCTGTGGAATTCTGGGAGTTGAAGTCCACATGCCTTAAAATTGTCAAGGTTGAGAAACACTGAACTAGCATGAATGGGAAATTGATTCACACTCAGACAATAGCTTCTAACAGTCAATACATCAGCCACATTGTAGCCCCTCCTAGGTGATTAACGTTGCCATATAATGATGGATGCATTTGGAACATCTAGTATTCATGCATATACGAATTAGAGTACCATGCTTCAAGTTTCAGTTGCAAGCATTTATCACAAGGTTATATTAGTGCAAAAGTATAAAACCAGAATAATGTGCCATTATCTTAAACACATTTGTGCGGTTATGCACTGTGTTCCTCACAGTTTAGGTAGCATTGTCCCTTCATGCAATGGTTCGATATGGCCCATACATTAAATATGAATCCATTCTAAAAACCTCTGCTTGTAGTTGCATGGAGTTTTTTTTAATAGAGTGTTTCTACCTGCATTATTCAGAGATGCATCACACAATGTCAATAAAGGTTAGTTATAACAATCACCCTGTTTTAAATGCAGCTCAGAAGCTGGAATGGATAAAAATGATTCTTTCCCTGCTATGATTGTGCTTAAGAATCAACAGGATTCTAAATATGGATCTATAGCTGTGAGTTGAAGTCCCCTATATGCCTGGCTATTATCCTGTTTGGAATCAATTAAGGTAAAATAGAGAGGAAGACATGGGAGTTGGCTAAAGGAATCAACACTGAAAAGAGAAATCTACAACTAATTTGCAGTGATGGATTGTTGGTGTGTGCTTATAATCTTAATAATTCTTTTCAACAAAGGGAAAAGGGGAAAAAACCTTTTGAGCAATACAAAGTTTTTGCAATTACATATTATTTCTCCTCCTCTTCTTTTTTTATTTTACTTGTCAATTATGAGGTTGCATTGATCCTTTAATACTGTTATGTGTACCTGTACTTTGTTAATTAGCATTAAAATGTTAATTAAAAAGGACCTTTCTACATGCAACGATCACAGGATGTAAAGCTACTCCATATTTAGCATTAAATCAAAAGGCGCATCTATTTTCCTCTAATGGCACAGAAAAAAATGCCTTTTCTATTTTTATTTGTCTTTGTAACAGCCAATGGCTACATGTTGTCTGGGCAGTTCACTGAATGCAGCTTAAACGTATACAACATCAGACAGCGCAGCATAATATAACCCCTCTAAATATCAAGAAACAAATACACAAGAAAACCTGAATAAAATCTGTGCCATGGAAAGAACAGTTCAAATCTAGATGTTTTAAAAAACAAAGATGAAACCTTATTTATTTTCACAAGCAACTTAATCTGGCTCCAAGGTTATCATTTATGCCAGGTAAGCCTCTCTAGGTCCAGTGTTTCTCAACCCTGACAATTTTAAGGCATGTGGACTTCAACTCCCAGAATTCCACAGCCAGCATTGCTGGCTGTGGAATTCTGGGAGTTGAAGTCCACATGCCTTAAAATTGTCAAGGTTGAGAAACACTGCTCTAGGATGACTGCTCTCGTGGTCTCCGTCTCACCTTTTGGGAGGGGTATCTGAGTTGGACCATCTGAAAATATCCCTAATACCTTTTAACTCTACAGAAATGCATAAATAATCTTTATGCATTTTATTGACACTTAACTAAACTTAAGATACTGTAACATCTTTTAATAATAAATATGTTAAATATCTGATGATATTTTGTACATCATGTATGAAAGGAGACAACTCTGGTTAAATGTTTAATTTCAACATTTTAAACTAAGGCCAGAAATACAAACAAGATACTTGTGGAGTGTAAAGCAGTAGCATATATCTTACTGCATCATGGTGAACAGTCTTGCTACCACATTTTTGACCAGCTGTTGTTTCCATGCTGTTATCAGGAAGCCCCTTGTAATATGTTGTGGAACATGGACAAAGTAAAGACACTCATGCAGAGTACAGTTTTCCACCTGGAACAGTAACTTTCCAAGATGAAGGCTGACATACCCGATTCTTTATAGGGGAAACAAAAATTATCTTCTTGCCTATCACAGCTTGAATTCTCCTCTACAGAAGAGATAATGCCAACAAGTGTGAGTTTCATATTTTAAAGAGTGAGATTCCTCAGCTGAGCTGTGCAATTTTTGTAACACAGCCAGCACATGCCCTCTTCAGCAAAAGTATCTCTCCTGCTTTTTAAAACCAGCAACTTTCAAGCTAAGTGTTAAAACAATAGCCAAGCTTCTAAACCTGGGAATTCAGAGGTGACAGTTTGTTCCAGAACATTTCTATAAAAGAACAAGCAATCACTTTTGTTGATCAATTTCCTTTGCTGTGGGGGGTGGGTGGGTGGGTGGGTGGGTGGGGAGTATAAGAGAAAAAGAAGGCTCTGATGAAGCCCATCAAAGTCAAGTCAAAAAAACTGATTTTCTGGCCTCATATAAGCAAGAGCAGAAGAGACTTATTCATGAACTACATAGCCCCTGCTTCTCCTCCTCATTTATGGGGGAGAAAAAAAAATAAAGGACATCCAGAAACAATATCATAATAAGAGATGAAGACAGATGCTTATCTTCAGCCCAGGCCCTGGAGAGGTCCTTCCAGTGTCAATTCAATCATGATAGCTGACTAAAGACTGGGTCAAGATAGGGCCAATCTCAGAAGGGTTCAAACAAGGCATTCATGAGGAAGAAGCCATCTTGATGAGGAAAAAGCTTCCTCCAGGTAGCTAATGGAACTCTTGCCAGCAAGTCTCTTAGGGGCTAAGAGAAGTTTTAGGTCTTCAGGGGTGTCTGCTCAGTCAGGTTGCGCACATCTTCCAGGAATTGTTTGGGAGTCAGGATGTGGGATGAGCCTATGTGGGAGAGAAGGATTACCACAGGAATCCATCAAAGACAAGGCACTTGTGAGCAAGCAGGCTATCCACTGGCTGTGCACTTACCAATCAGCACTTCCCATTTTCCATCAGTAGCCTCCGTGACTTCATAGGCACAACGCATCTCTGACATGGTAACTCCACCAAGCACATACAGGATAAGACGGGGTCCTGTCCTGTACTCAGTTGCTGTCTTGGTCTTGTGCCAATGTCCAAAACGGGCACTGTGAGACAAAAATGGAGGAACCATCTGCTAAAAGACTGTCAGCCAGGCAATCTGGGAAAAACAGCCTTTCCTTGCATGCTAGACAGCTCCCTGGGAACATACAACACCAAAAGCTGGTCCAAGAGATGAAGGATCCCACCCTCCCAAATGTACATAGAAAGAATCAGCTCTATCGTATGCTCTTCAGCCATTCAAAGACAGGTGATGTTGCATCTACAAACCTTTCAAACAGGAGAATACATGAGTGTTCTTCAACATACTCTTAAGTGGAAAAGTAAACGTAAGAGATGAGTAAATTTTCTCCTTATCATTTAAATTTATATCTTGTCTATGTGTTAAAAATGGTGCTGCCTTATGCTTTCTTCTATTTGTTTGGAACATCACTTACCTCACAGCAGTTTGGGAACAGGGACCAGGGGCAGGGCAAGACATATAGGGCCAGACCTTCTTATCCAGTTTGTCCTCAATGGCATCCTGTGTCAAGATGAGCAAAAGTAAAAAAGATGGGTTCCCTTTTTTTCTGGTTTGATAGAACCTGGGATTGTGTAAAAGGTTAAAGAAGCCATATGGCTGATCTTGGCTGCTCAGTATGCATGTGCGGGCACAGACATTTTTGTTTGTCTTTTTCCCTGGAGGGGGGGTGGGATTCTGTTCTCAAAATTTTCATCCTGACCACAACTACTGTCTAAGCAAGAAGCCAAAGTCGTGCAGTTTGATGCCCAATAAAACTGGACTACAGAACAACATAGTAATAAGGACTTCATGGTTTATCTTTTGTCGATTTTCTATAGCAAGATCTTAATTTTTTTTCTTGTGCGATCCAGGTCACAAAGATATACAGGGTAGATGGGATTCTCAACTGGATTTGCTTCAGGACTGAAGCTGAATCCATTTTCAAGTACACAACCAACACTCAAGGCAGCCAGCTCCCTCTCCCTCCTTCTGTGTACCTCCATGACATCCTTAAGAATGGGAATCCACCGAGAGAGTTGGTAGGTAGGCTCTAACCGTACTTTCCTCACAGGCTTCAGGTTTCCGCCAGTGTCCTGCGAGTAGAAAAGCCCATTCAAAAAAATTAAAAGAGCAGGAGCCAGGCCTGTTGGAAGAAAGGCAGAAGGGGATGGACAAGATGGTTCAAGAAAGTCCAGTGCTTAGAGCAGTGGTTCTCAACCTTTCTAATGCCGCGACCCCATAATACAGTTCCCCATGTTGTGGTGACCCCCAACCACTTATACATCACCAAGTGCCAGGGGCGTGGCCAAAGAAAAGGGGGAAAAATGGCAGACAGCCTTGTTTGGTGACCCCCGTGAAATGGTCGTTCGACCCCAAATGGGGTCCCGACCCACAGGTTGAGAACCACTGGCTTAGAGGAAGATGGAATGGCTTACCTAAACAGCTCCAGTAGGACTGGCCAAGGGACAGGCAAGAGAGGAAAAGAGCAGAGAGAAGAATGAGCAGAGAGAAACATACAACACTGGCAGACTTAAATAAGAGGGATTCTTATCTTCATCAATAGGACAGCCAGAAGTTACCCTTCTTGTCCATGAACTGTCAGGGCCATTACTCAAGACTGCACTAGTGAATGGTAACTATGCAGAAACAGCACAGGCATAAGCTACCCGCCCAACAAATGTCACTAGCAGATGCGTGTGTGAAATACCTCTGGCATGATGGCGGCCCCCAGGCAGTGCATATTATAGAGGGTGTCTCTCTCCTGCTGGATGTTGGCATGCTGGATGAGCTTGGTGAGGTTCTCCTCGTTAATGCCTAAATGAAAGGAGTGCAGCTCAGACCGAGGGCTTCAGAGTTTTATAACCTTTGCCTTCCATTATATTATCCCCTGATATTGCCACATCAATTATCCACACTATTTTTTTCAACCACAATTTTAAATCTGGTGTGTTATTCTCCAGGGCTTTATCAGTTTGTATGTGGTACTCCCACAATATTTTAACATGCTCTTTACAATACTTTTTCGACTCAATGTTCCCACCAATTTTTATGGGTGCTCCAGTGAAATCTTTTTGGCACCTACGTCTTTGCTTAGAGAGGTAGTCCTCGACTTACAAGAGTTCATTTAGCGACCGTCCCAAGTCACAACATCACTGGAAAAAGTGACTTATGACCGTTTTTCACACTTACAACCGTGGTAGCATCCCCATGGTCATGAGATTTACATCCGGATGCTTGATAACTGACTCACATTTATGATAGTTGCAACGACCTGGAGTCATTTGATTGCCTTTTGTGTCCTTCTGACAAGCAAAGTCAACGGGGAAACCAAGATCACTTAATCGTGTTACTAATTTAAACAACTACAGTGATTCACTTAACAAATGTAGCAAGAAAAGTCGTAAAATGGGGGCAAAATCCACTTAACAAATTGCTCGCTTAGCAATATAAACTTTGGGCTCAATTATGTAAATTGAGGACTACCTGTAATCAGTTATGTGCAGTATTTTGTGCATGAACTGATTATATGATCTACTGTTTCTTCTGCTTCTTAACACAATCTGCTTTTTTCAGTTGTCAGTCGTTGCCTGGTTTCCCCACAAGATGGTTTTCATGTCTAAGGGACGTTAGAACTCACAGTCTCCTGGTTTCTAGGCCAGCACGTCTCTCTATGTTCCTGTCGCCATTTCAGATTTCACCACCCGGGATAGGAAGTGGATGAGCACTAACCATGAGTGGGATGGCCCTGATTGTGCCATCATAGATTTTTATGCTTTTTAAAAAATGTTCTGTACAAACAAAAATTAAAAACAGAAGCAAGAACTTTCTTTCTTTTCTGTGGTGGCTTAGAGGACCTTCAAATGGCAGTTGACACAACCACCCGAGACTTACGAGTTTGATGTAGCTAGTCAGAGAGGGGATTTAACCCCTCCTAGGAGACAGATGTCACACCCAGCAGTGTTGTGTGAACATAGTGTCCAGTTATGGGCAAGAAGCGTCCTGAAATTTCTCTTCCTTTTGAACCTTGCAAGGGATTTTTTCCCTAACCTAGGCAGCTGAGAGAGAAGTGATCCAGCAATGGTACCATTCTGGAGAAGTATGCAAAGCAGGATAATGCGAATCTTATCAAAGGCCTCCACAGTGGTATCAAGGACAATTGGCACAATACTCTTCATTGGGTTCTTGACTTTCTCCCCTTCAACATCTGCCCCTGTGGCCAGATCCTGTGAGGAGGGAGAAGAGACGCCCATCAGGAACGATCCTTTTCACCAGGGAAGACAAGGAGACACCCAAAGTAAGTTGTACTTCACTGTGAATACACAGAGTTGGGCTGCCATGGCGATTCTCTTTTGTTCTCACCTCTCCTGAATTCTTAATATGCCTACCTGTTCCAGGCCGCACAGCTTCTCTATGGTGCCCTTAAAGGCATTCATGCAGTCTTCAGCCAGATGCAAATGTGTGGAATACTACGGGACGAAAGAGGATGGTAAGAAACAGGCTGTCAACTCTACAACAAACATGGCTGCAGCCACCTTGCTCGTTCTAGGTTGCCACATGACATGGAGGGGGAACGGAGTATCTCTGTTAGCCTAAACCAGTGGTTCTCAATCTGTGGGTTGGGACCCCATTTGGGGTCGAACGACCATTTCACGGGGGTCGCCAAACAAGGCTGTCCGCCATTTCCCCCCCTTTTCTTTGGTCACGCCCCTAGCACCCGGTGATGTATAAGTGGTTGGGGGTTACCACAACATGGGGAACTGTATTATGGGGTCGCGGCATTAGAAAGGTTGAGAACCACTGGCCTAAACAATATTGTGTCCCATGGAAACCAAGGTCACTCTCTCATTTGGAAGCGGAGGGTCAGGCCTTCTGGTAGAAAGCCCGCCAAATTGCTGTATTGGGTCACATAGTTATTGCATAGCACTGGGGTGGGAACTTTTACTTTGTAATAGTGTAACTCTTTGGAGAGAATCTCAGACTTGGTTTCACTTTTGACTGTGCTGATATTTTGTATCCAATAAACATGTTCTTTGAGGAAGATTCAAGCCTCTGAGTTCTGATTTATTTGGTTCTATCGGAACCATGACACAGGCTTTTTGCAAGCATTAAAGTTTTTCCCTCCTGCCCCTCCAACGAACAAAAAGTTGCCTGTGGAAAATGAGCAAGGCAAGATCCAAGGGATGCCTGAAAAAATAGCGACAATCTGTAGTAGCTAGAAATGCCATGATCAATAAAAGTTATGCAAATGAAATTAAGCTTGTCCCTGTGACTATTCTGCACAATCTGTCCCGCTTGTACTTTTGGCAGTGCAACGGCTCCAGCCCTTTATATTATATACAGATTTTAACAACCAGAAACCTGGTTATTTAGAGAGACAGATGAGATGTGTCTGGATAAAGATTTTGGCTCATTGCAGCATGTTGAAAATGATGGTTCTGGAGATAATATAAAATGAGAGATACTTTTCTCACAACTAAATATGGTTCTCAGAAAAACAGCTTCCATGGAAGCTCAAGGAAGCAGCAGCAGTTTAGTGCAGAACATTCAGAAAGTATGAGAGTAGTACCAAGATGGGATTGGCTAAGCTTTGTGGAAATTGTAACAATGGGGACTGTAGTCTAAGATATTGTATACAATTCATATTATAAGGTACAGTATACAATCCATGTCCTGTCCCAATTCTTCTAGAGCTTAAATTTACCCAGGCCATTTAGATACACATGGATGGGTGAAGGAATTAAGCTTTTTAGTTTAGAAGTTATAAATTCATACATATTTCTATAGATTTGCAGATAAAGAACTGTGAAGACTGTACCATATCAGCTGAAATCAAAGAGCCAGAAGGTAGGGTGAGGCAAACATTCTTACTGCTGGGAAAATTATAGACCTCTATAAATGGGGAATTTTTCTTTCTCATATTGGATTTGCTGCATGAATCAGAAATATATTAGCTCAGCAATTAAACATAGATGAACATGTCCAGATCTGATTTTGGATTGGTGCAAGAGCCTATGTAGACATGCCTGTAGTTGTTTTTATTCAGCCTTTTAGTGTTAGATTTAAAGACATTTTATAACATGAAAAAATTTGCACTGTCAATGTACTCTAATTCATGCTAATTGATGGTGACTGATAATAATAATAATAAAGTTGGAAGGGACCTTGGAAATCATCTAGTCCAACCCCCTGCTCAGGTAGGAAACCCTATACCATTTCGGACAAATGGCTGTCCAGTCTCTTCTTAAAAACTTCCAGTGTTGGAGCATGCACCGCTTCTGGAGGCAGGTTGTTCCACTGGTTAATTGTTGTAACTATCAGAAAATTTCTCCTTAGTTCTAGGTTGCTTCTCTCTTTGGTTAGTTTCCATCCGTTGCTTCTTGGCCTGCCTTCAGGTGCTTTGGAGAATAGCTTGACTCCCTCTTCTTTGTGGCAGCCCCTGAGATATTGGAACACTGCTATCATGTCCCCCCTCATCCTTCTCTTCATTAAGAGAAGGATCGACTTATTTTAAATCACTTATACAACTGATTACAAGAAACAAATAATTAAATACAGGCACACGATACATTTTGTATCTTTTACCTTGTGAAGTTCTTTCTGGTATTGGGGCATCTTCTTCAGGATTTGAGAGAGGTCTTTAATGTTAGCCTAGAAAGAAGAACAGCAATTGCCCATGACAAACTCAACATAAAGGCAATCCAAGTGTTAGTAAAATTTCAGATAAAAGCAACTCTCTCCCTCATCTTACAACAGTTCCCTGCAACCTGGTTGAAGGAGCTCCTAATACTTCTAGATACCCTGAATTTAGCCCCAAGATATCTGCGGGGCATTCAGGTTAATGAATGCTGTCTTACAAGACCTACAGGCCGATGGCTCCTCTCTTTTAAGTCTGGCTAAGTAAGCTCCAAATTTCTAGAGCAGTCACTCAAGAAGCTCAAAGAAACTCAATGTTAAAACCTCAAAGGATGGAAATAAGTAATTTTCTCCAGAATTTCCATTTGTATGCAAGTTCTGTGGAGGAATGTCAGTCCCTTCCCTACACTGCCTCTTATTCTCCCAAATGACTTCAGTGTCACTTTGGCTGTTCCGCCTGAAGATTCCTCATCTTGGTGTACCCCAGTGTTTCCCAAACTTGACAATTTTAAGGCATGAGGACTTCAACTCCCAGAATTCCACAGCCAGCAACGCTGGCTGTGGAATTCTGGGAGTTGAAGTCTACATGCCTTAAAATTGTCAAGTTTGGGAAACACTGGTGTACCCCAAAGGCCCTCTTATTTTTATACCATCTATACTTCTCGATTAGCCTTTCTTGTGCACTGTGCACATAACTGTGCTTTCAAAACGTTGTCCAGAACTAATGAGATTTAGTTAAGGTTGATCTGCCTCCCTGAAAAACCAAACAGCAACGATGTTTCAGTCACTTAACTTGAGCCAAAGAAGCCTAGCTTGGAAGATGTAGAATGCATGTCCTCCCCCTCCCCCCAAGAAGTCTCTCAGGAAGGCAAATCACAGACAAGACGAAGGTCTGGCCATCCTACCTTATCTGTGGTGAGCCTTTTGCTTTCACAGAAGGTACGCAGGAGCTCAGTCACTTTCCTGTGGAAGGAGGTCATATTCAGGGCCAAATACAAACACTCATCCCCAAAGTGCAACTCTTTATCCCTCCCACAACAATAGACTCTGTGCGGCCTTCAAAGTCCAGGGCTCTCTGTACCAGAAATGGCAGTTAATTCTGGAACAGAGGGTAATGGTGGAAGCAGCATTTCTCCCCTCCCCCTCCTCTCTTCACAACGGACACCAATGGCAATCCAGATCAATTTAGGAAGAAGGGCTCCAGCAGGCTTATATTGCTCCAGCCACTTATCGTTCTGGCTGATTCACAAACTCATCAGGCAACCAGGCAGTTGTATATAGGGCTGTATGTAGGTTCTCACTTGGACACGTCTGCGATGTGCATATGGCGTAACTGCACCCAGAGGTCATCGTCCTCATCCAAGAGTACTACCTTTTCCCTGGAGTCACTGATGCCTGTGGATTCATACCTGAAGGAAAGCAACAGAGTAATATTCTGTTAGAAACATATGCTTGCTCTCTAAATGGGAAGGCACAGAATTCTTTTACTCATTCTCCCCCCCCCCCAACAACAGCTCTCACCGGTAAGTATCACTCTCGATGTTGAGCAAGTCGTAGGCCATGGCTTGGAAAGTGAGCTCATGAAGAAGTGGCGACACCAGATCATAGCTGCGGTCAACTATCAGAAGCTGTGATCGAGATTTGTCAGGGCCCTGAATGCAGCAAAAAGGGGAAGATAAAAACAAACAAACACAACTTTGTGGTTTCGGTTTGTATGCTGCATGTTTCCCTGCTAAGCGGAATCCTTAGGCACTGTCTGAAAGTCATCCACAGGACACACCCTGTATCTTAATAAATTGATGAACCATGGCAAGATTGATTTAATCTGTAATCCTATTTGGAAATAAATTCCCCCAAGCTCAGTGGGCAAATAAAAAGACAGCCACAGAGCTGCATTGCTAATTATTTAATGGCAGCCCTGCTACAGGCACTAAGGAAGAGTGGAACAGCTGAGTATTGCAGACCCAATCTCTCCTCCAAATATTGTTGACTGCGGGCAGCCTCAGTCTAGACATCTTTAATAGGGAGCTTGGTCAAAAATTTATTATTCAAACAATGCAAACCCCCTTCCAAGGGACGTAAACAATTCCATAAGCATAACGGACTTACGCTTGTGATGTCAACACAAGCAACAAAAGAGGCTAAAGGCTGTTAATTCTCTGTAGTGCAAATTCTGCTCTAGAGCCATTTGAAACAAGTCCTTTAGATTCTACTTGGACATCCCACCATCTCCACTATTCCTTTAACTGACCTAATAATGTCCTGAGTTTTAATGGTACTTTGGTTATGAGAGGATGGCAGAAGAACCCAATTTTATTTAAATGCTGCCAACTGTTTAACATCTAGTTTATGAAATTTACAAAGGCAGCAGCAGGAGCATCATTGTTACCAAGGCATTTTCAGCATACTCAGAACAGGTGTAGCACTATTGGGCCACTTTTTGGTGTTAGAGTACAATGCAATCTATCCTTTAGCCTGCAGGTGGCACGCAAATACACTGTAGAGGCCTATGGACATGAATATTCCTTTCAGTGAAAACAGTAGCGCTCCAGAGATAGAAGGTAGAACAGCCTTTCTAAAACAAACATTCCCTGGTTATGTTGGAACTGCACAATCTCAACCACACAGTTGCTAGCAGGGGGCAGCTAACATATCCAAGTACTTCTGATGCAGAAAGGTAAATAGCATCCTTTTTCATGCATTCGGGAGTTTAATGACTACTAGATAAATCATAAAAATGCATGCATGGGCTGTAGAAAATATTTATGTCCTATAAGCAATATCTCAAAATTGCTTGTTATAGATAAATCAGCTTTCAATATACTACCCCTTTCTTAAAGGAAAAGGCAGCACTTCTTCCTGTTCAAAAGCAACACACTTTCAGGTGTTGATATGAAGTCACTTTGCTTTGTACACAGAATTCTGCAACTGTTGGGTTTTCACACAATAATGTTTTGTGTTTGCTTTTCATTATGTTATCTTTTTGCCACAATAACTGATTAAATACAGAGAGATGGAATATCTGCATTGGGTCCTTTGGTTGGCAGCAATAAGAGCACTCCTCCATCTCCAAGATCACCCCATTTTGATACAGCATTCCTGTTCGTTAACACAATTGTTTAAAAACAAATTACAACCAGTGGACAGCCCTGCTTTAAAAAAATCATTCAGGCCAAAGAAGTTGGTTCAATTAATGACATGGGAAGATCTCAGCCATAGATGAGGAACAAGTTCCTTCTTCTCTTGCCCTACACAATTAGGAAATTCTTCTAATTATTACTTCCCTCCCTGTTAACATTCTTTACTGTATTTTTATTTTAAGAGGATTTCACACCAATCAACAAAAGTCAGCCTGACCTTTTCTTTATGCGGCAACTGACATACTACTATGACCATCACCACTTTAACTGAGTCCACCTATCTTACTGCTTGTTTTCCTCTTCTTCTCTTTTCTTCCACCCTTTCCAGCATTACAGATTTCTTCAGAGAGCTGGGTCTCATAATATGTCTAGAGTATGATGATTTGAACATGGCATCCACATAGAGAACCGGTTGTTCACATATTTGAATCCCACCATTGGTTTTGGCTCAAGATTACATTATGGAAACTGGTTGGCTTTCTTCTTCTTTTGGCTTAACATGGAACTTACACATAAGCGGTTTGCAATCTGTTTCACAGTCACCACCTGGTCATATCTTTGAGCAACTCCACTTCCTTTAACAATAACGGACTACTTTTGCTATACCTTTCCTAACTACAAAAGCAATTCCATGGTTTTCATGTTTTAAGTAGTAAACAGCATGAGCCTCTCACTCAAAATGTGGAGTTTCAGTCTATCTCCATTCGCTGATGTTGCCCATGATGTCATTCTCTAGTAGTTTCACTTTTTCACTGTGTTGAGCTTTCTCATATTTTTATGTTTCATGTCCCCACCATAATTCTGTCTCTGCAGCTTTGAATTTTCTTTTCCTGTTTGACAAAATCAGCAACTAGACTTCTTTAATCTAGCCAAGCCATCAACATCCTTAGTACTCTATAAGATCCTTGTTTTTTTCACAGTAGTAAGAAAAAACAATAATAAGTTGATGGCCCAACCTGAGGGGCCATCACCTGGCATTATATTGTTAAATCATTTTATATTTTTATCCATGTTTTTTTCTTGGATTATCATTGCTTTCTCTGGTGCAGTATGAAATTATGCTTTTGCCATTGTCATTAAAGTGATCATCTGCCTCCAGCATCTTTATTTAGCATTATAGGTTCTTGCTTTCTTTAGCTGGACAGCTGGGATTCATTCATGCCCTGGGTAATGCTTCAGGAAATATATATCCTTGGCATTCTTTGCTCATCCCATCCCAGAAATATTCCCCACTGCCGTGGTGAGGCACCACAGCAGGACTTGGGCAGGACATGTATCTAATCGTAAAAATCAATAGTTTGTTAGCTAACTAGATATGTGGAAAACCTGGAGGACTTCCCACCACAATTTGTTTAGAACTGAAATGCAACAGTGAAAATTTATCCAAATAGTGTGCTTCAATCTTGTCTCTATAGACCATTTTTCTGATCACTGTCTGATTTCCTGGCTTCTTGCTCACCTACTAGAAATGCCACTTGGAGAAAGTGATGCTGCTGAATAGTAAATCGGGAAAAGGGTTAAAGCAGAACCATCGTACATAGATAGTACTATTCCAATTAAATAGTTAACCTGCAGTGAAAGAGACTGCAGACATCTTTCCCTGTGATCTTGGTCCTTAGTGCATGTCTAAACTTGACTTGGAAAGAACTGTCCAGCTGCCAAATAGCCTCTCCTGAAGACCTCTGTGAAAAGCATCTTGACAATGCTTGGCTGGGCATCTTCACTTCCACTTAAACTAAATACACTGTTAATAATCAAGGATAATATTTGGAAGATGGATTCTGCCAACTTGTCATCAGAGACTAAATTCTTCCAACTAGAGATGAAAGACTAGAAAATGGTTACTTCTTACACCCGATCTCTTCATTCTAAATGACACAACAGTCTTTGCAATCTTGTTCCACCCACTGGCCTGCTCTTTAATATTCTGGAATGCTCTGGGATTGCTCACCTCTCCCATGGTTGGGTTGTCTGCTTTGAAGGCATTCAGTTTCACCAACACTGCATGGGCCAATTGGAAACAGTCTTCTGAACCACTGTAACCACAAACACATAGTCATTTAGAAACAGGGCTTCTGCCATTCTGGAAGGGAGACCAAGCAAAACCAATGCCTGGACAAGGCAAAGAGTGTCTTGCCTCTTGCATTTCTTGGCCCACTTTCTTACACACGTACACTGTAAGAAACTCTGCTTTCAATCCCTGGTCACAGAGATGTGTCCAGGAGGGATCAAGGGAGGCTCAATTGATGAAACTATGCCCCACATGATGAAAGCATCAGATCCTGCAGATGAGCTGGTCTGGCAGCAGACATCCATTATAAGAAGTAGGCCGGTCCTTGCATCAACTAAAAGCAGCAGGATGCTTCATTGCATAATAGATAGGTGTGGCCTCCAAATATGCTCCACAATTGTACTCCCATGTTCTCACGTGTTATGCCCCAATATTATACTCAAGTATTATACTCCCATGTTCTCAAGTATTATACCCCAGTCATTCTCTTTATAGGGTTTTTATACAGAATACTGGTAGAATATCAGTTTTCCCCTTCCTCTTTCCTTTGTACTAACTTTCTATAGCGAATTGAAGGGTATTCCTTGAGGGTGTCACACAGTGTGGCAATCTGCTCCGCCATCCTCTCTAAGTGGCTGTTTTTATCTTCCCTGCAGTAGGGGCTGAAGAGGTGGTGGAAACTCTGAACGCTGTCCAAGGTGTACACCTGAAGAGAAGGAAAGAGGAGAGAAGAAATGGAGAAAACAATGGGAGTGTTATATTAGTGATCTATGAGGAAGGAAGTGTAAACTCATACAGTGCTCTGGTAACATTTTTTTTTCCACAATAGTGGTGCCCAGTTCCTTAAAAATAGTCTGTCATAAAGCAGATTTATTTTTAAAACTACGGAGGTACAATATTTCATTAAATGCTGCCAGTTTCTTTGAAAACGTTGTAAGTAACATTGTGTTCTCTGGTTCATCTAATCTTAAAAGAATCTTGAATCAAAGTTTTAAGGACTTTCTTGCTTGATGTGTTGGGAGTAATCAAAATGCTGAGTGGGTGGAGGGCAAGTTGATAGAAAAAGATAGGAGAAAATGAGTTTACAAACACAGGAGTTTGTCAAGTTTTTTTTTTTATTCCGCCTTTATCATTTTTATAAATTACTCAAGGTGGTGAAGATATTCCTCCTTCTATTTTCCCCACACCAACAACCCTGTATGATGAAATGGGCTGAGAGGGAGTGATTGGTCCAAAGTCACTCAGCCAGCTTTCATGCCTAAGGCAGGATTAGAACCCTTGGTTTCCTGGTTTCTAGTGTAATGCCTTTACCACTAGACCAACCTGGCTCTCAGGCTGGCTAGTAATAAATTCAATAACTAGTTTGTAAGAAAGAAAAAAGAAAATCACCCCCTCTAGTTAAATACATGAGAATAAGCTGCGGGCTACTTGATAGCACTTGGATCTTGAACCCAGGCTGTCAGCTCTCCAGCTGACAAATTCAACTTCTTAACCACTGAGCCATCCTGCCTCTCCCCACCCCGCCATGGAGTTCTATAGAACAGTGTTTCTCAACCTTGACAATTTTAAGGCATGTGGACTTCAACTCCCAGAATTCCACATCCAGCAATGCTGGCTGTGGAATTCTGGGAGTTGAAGTGCACATGCCTTAAAATTGTCAAGGTTGAGAAACACTGCTATAGAAGAAGCAGAGCTTCTTCTCTTCTGCAAAGATTTTAGAGATAGATAGTAACTCAGTATAATTATTTTTATTCAAAGTGAAATCTCTCAAAGCAAAAGTGCGCTATGTTAATTCGTGTATCTTTACAACCTTGAGACTATAGCGAAAATTAAGAGGTCCCTGCTCTGTTCCCCTTTTTCCCCCCTCTCACCTGCGATTCATAGGGAAGGAAGGCAACATTGATCTCCTTGAGTGTCTTGATTGCTTTCGTGATCCGGGACTTGCTGAGCTCATTAAAGAGCTCATCTGGGCAAGCTGAAAGACAAGGGAGGGAGTTAATGTTTATCATCCTCCAAAGGGTGCCACTCATTTTTCTGCAAGTTTTTTTTATGGTTATAGGTCTACTCCAGTGACAGCGAACCTTTTAGAGACCGAGTGCCCAAACCGCAATCCAAAATCCATTTATTTATCGCAAAGTGCCAGGGCTGCATCAGCATTGTGGTGCCCTAGGGGGGGGAACAGTGAGGCACCTCTGAGTGCCGCCTCTGGCACACAAAACCCGGGGGGCACAAAAATGGGCCACTGTGCTGCAAGGTGCAAAAATGGCCGCCGCCACACCGCAGGGTGCAGATACAAGGCGCTACATCACGCAAGAACAGGGCAGAGCTAGTATCACGCAGGCACTAGCCCCGCTCCATTTGCAGTGTATGTGTGCTCACGGCCCCATGAGCGCATGCACGCATGCAAAATGCTTCCTTTTTTTCCAATCCACCAATCAACAATGGTTGGTGACCTCTGCTCTACCACCTCTACTCGAGCTTACTAGTCGGCCACTTCGCCTCCTTTGTGCTGGGTGGGGCTCCTACTCTGGGCGGCGGTGGCAGCCTGATGGGCCTGCTGCTGGCGGTGGTGTACGTGCCAACAGAGAGGGCTCTGAGTGCTACCTCTGGCACACGTGCCATAGGTTCGCCACCACTGGTCTACTCCATAAGCTATAAAGCAAGGGTCCCCAATCCCGGTCTGTGGACCAGCATCGGTCTGCGGCATGCCAGAAACCAGGCCGCACAAAAAAGTGAGGTCCCATCTGCAGAATGCAGGCAGCATGCAAAACCACACCCCCTCCAATCCGTGGAAAAACTTGGCTCCATGGAACCGGTCCCTGGTGCCCAAAAGGTTGGGGCCCGCTATTATAACGTATACTTAAAATTTTGTAATTGTCTCAGAACAGAAGTTCACTTTTGAGCCCTCTTAGTCAGATTCTTCTCTGGGGTCTTAGAACAATTCATACTCTCAGTGAAATGGGTTCATGAACCACACTAGGAAGTATTTTTTTTTGTCTATTTGGATGTAATACGTTAGATGATCTAGCATTATGGTGTGTAGAACCTGGTTAACGTCAACAGCATTTATGAATTAAATAATTTATTCATCAATCATGGTTAAACAAATCATGGCTTAACATGAATTGTACAATTTTGGCCAAAAACGAATGAATCCGATAGATACAATGCATCAATTTAGTCACTATGGATTAGAGAGCCAGTTTGGCATAGTAATAAAGCAAACTGGGAGACTGAGTTTTAGTCCTGCCTTGGGCACTAAGCTAACTGGGTAAACTTGGACCATTCACTTTCACTCAGACCTAGGAAGGAAAGAATGAGAAACCACTTCTGGAAAACCTTGTGAAGAAAATTGCAGGGACTTGTCCAGGCAGCCTCTCAGCATCAGACACAATTAGATGGAAGAAAAAAAAATCCCTAGGACCAGCAGCCATACATTCTACTATTATATCTCAAGCAATTGCATAATAGCCCTTTGATTCATAGCATGAAATTTGTAATGTAATGTAATATATTACAGGTCAACACTTATATTGGCTAAGTACCTGTTCACTAACCCAACTCCCAATAAATGTTGTCCCAGGATCCCCCAATCTAGAAGACACCAGGTTAGTAAAGACAGTCCTAGACATCTTCCTGTTTGCCTGAGACTGTTCCTTGTACTTACTGTCCGTGAAGAACACATGGGCGGCCTTGTAGGTGAACGTGGGAGTGCTTTTAAAGTCATTTATCAGAGCACGAACAGACTGCAAATGGAGAACAGGCTATTAGCAGTAGTTGTACAAATCCCAAACATTTTCTACGAACTCCCATATCTTGACCCTCCAGTCATACTAACTACCTTTAACCATAGTGACCTCTGGGATGAATAATTTTCCTTTTGAGGCTACAGGGCAATCAAAAGCATTTGTTCTTCCCACCTTTTTTTTCCCCTTCCCAAGGAGTTGGCAATAAGTGCTAATTACTAGTGTAGGTATATGTAGATGTTTCACAGGATCTATCTTTAAGGAGGCATTTATCAATGTATTAACTGCCCAGATAGGCAATGGACCTACCGTCTCAATGGGGCTGATCAAATAGATGGCTTCCAGACTGGGAAGAGGCTCTCGGCGCTTGCTTATATCTTCAATAACTGAAGAAAGTAAAATGCTTATTAGATATCTGGATGGAAGCAACAATTGGGCAACAATTCCCAGGAGTATGGAAGGAGGAAAAACAGTAGTAAAAGGATATATATATCTGATTCTGACAGTACCAGAAGAAGCTGAATGCAGAATGATCTAAACAAGAAACCAGGACCCAGCTATGCCTGGACGGATGCACTGTGTTTGGGACCTGAGGCAAGAGTTGTGCTACAAAAGTTATAAACCTTTCCAGCTCTAAGAAAGGCCTCTGTTGACAGGATCAACCACAGACAGATAGTATCTTGCACGTGCCACTCACTTGTGATGCCTTCAGCCAGAAGATCTGACATCTTAAAGCAGGAGGAAAGGATGCGGGTGCTGGGATGATCCATAATGAGGACCTTCAGGGACAGAAAGAGAAAGAATATTATACACAAAGAAGCAATTGTTAAAGTTGAGCAAAAGTATAATTAAAATAATTAGTTATGTCACAAAAAGCATGAAATAATAAATAGTTATACTCATGTTCCAAAGTACCTCCTTCTGTGAAATGAAATTATAAAACCAAGTATCTTATTCTCCTATTCAGTTATATATTGGCCTTCCAACTTTTTATTTGTATTCCCAAACTTGTACAGATAACTAAAATATGCCAACATCCATATCCATTTCTCCCCCCTCCCATTAAGTCCTATTTCAAAATAAGCCTGGAGGTTTTTAGTTTGGGGATCTGACTTTCTTTCTAAAGCATCTTTATCATTATGAATGGCTGGATCACAATACCACTTTGCTAGTAAAGGGTATGTAAGTCAGCATTTACTATTCCAGTTCCTGGAAATATGGACCCATTTTTGTTCTCCATCTGAGTTAAGAGAGTACTGTAACGATGAGTAAGGCATTTAAAACATTTTTACTTTCATTGGAGAGTTCCTTAAAACCCGTTATCTCATTGATGTACTGTAATTTCCCTGCACAAAGATAAAAGATATTTTCAGATCTGCTTTCTATCATTAGCTAGCACTTCTTGCTAGTATAATGCAAGATTGGTCACACAGCACTGAGGGTTCCACTTGTGTGTGTGTGTGTGTGTGTGTGTATGTGTGGGTGTATAGTTTAAAGGGGCAATTATGTTTTAGAATACTCTGAGATGGAGTATATTTACTAACTTGACAGCAAATTGTAGGTTAGATATGAGATAATCAGCATAGCTAAATAACACACTTGCAAACCCAATAGAGCAAAACTAATTTAATAACATCTTTGTCTATCTCAGTTAGTAATTTCAAGGCTCACTTGCTACCTTGCTGCATCAGGAAAAGATATGAGAAGCATGAAGAACCTTAAGTGTCACAGTGAAGATACAGCAGGTCTACTGAACAGAAGGCCCAGAGTATACTGTGTGATGAATTAACTGCATCAGAGATTTTCTAAACACATAAAAAGAAAGTCCAGTGCACATGCATACAATTTAGATTAGTAAACTGATCAGACAAATTTAACTCATCCAAGACACAGAGGTGTACTAACCTTCCATTCTCCTTCCTTTTTCATGCTGTGTATAACATCATTCAGGATCTCTGAAAAGTGAAGGTCAATGAAGTTAGAATGGAGGCCCTTTTTTTGCTACAATGAGAACATTTAGCTGAGTCCTATGCCGCATAAATAATTTTCTTATCACCCCAGTATAGCTTTTTTTCACAATAAGCAAGGATATTATTGACAAGCCAAAATGTAGGACTGGGAGTAAAATCACAAAACACACACAGCAGGTGTTTTTGCTTGGATTTTATAGCAAGAAAGTCAAGTCCATGTTCTGAAGCTGCAGCGAATGTTCAGGTTTTTGACATACAGCAGCATCTCCGAGGTGAATTTCAAACTCTCTAGAATCAATTATGGAAAGACCATTCCCACACAACCTGGACAGCACCTCACTTCATCTGTTGATCTGGTCTTCAAGATCTTCAGAAGCTTTCCCCTACTGTGTGAAATAAGAGGGTAGCTATTTGAGAGGAATACCCAGTAATACAACCCTGGTTGTGGAATGTCTTCAGGTTACCCTGAGGAATTTTATACAGGTGACAAAAATACTATTCAATGGTGACATTTTGCTCTTTGGAGGCAAGAAGACTGCCGTCATCACGAGACAAAATGACCATTAGTACTCCCAGTAATTCTGTTTTTTAAGATTTTTGGGGTGGTGCTTTTAAAATGTTGTAGATATTATAATAAAATATTATACATTGTAGAATGCCCTAAGAAAGGTTCACCTGACTATTTTATAGTCTTTTCACTAATCAGTGAAGGTTTTTTGTTTTACCCTAGCTTTATAAGTCTGAAAACTTTTCAGTGTATGCAAAATCTTGCATTTGTGGCTCTTTCTGCTGCAGGTTCTAACTTTATGTTTTAGATATTTGGTACATATGGTATTTTAGGTTTTCATTTGGTATTGTGAACTCTGCATTGCGTTCTATTTATAAAGAGCAAACTATATACCTTGTACATAAATACAATATTACAGGCCTGATTCTGAGACACCCTTCCCCCTTGCAAGTTGAGGTAGATGGGCAGGTCCTTTTTAATACTGATGCCTTGTCTGTGCAACTACGCTCAGTTAACATTTTTTCAATGCAGGATTCATCTTATTTGGATGCTTGGCTGAATTTTCCCTGAATTCAGTTTGAAGATTACTAGAAAAACATCATTTAAAGCTGTTAATTTGATTTTAATTTACACTATACTACATGTGACTTTTAAAATATTTTACTGAAAAAAGTGAGATAAACATGGTGGCAAATAAGCTGGATGCTGCATTACAATTTTATGGAGGGGGGCATTCAATAATGCATTTTCTATAACTCCATGTTAATTTAACCAATTACTAAAAACAGAAGGATTGCTGGCAATGACCGAAGGAATCCCAATATAATATAATATTGTATTATAATATTGTATTTTCAAGAAGACAATACAAATAAGCGGATTAGTTGTGAATATGACTTCATAGCAAATATTAATAAGAATCCAGAAGTTTTTAATCAACCTTTCAAATATGTGGGACTACTATAACCAGGGCTTTTTTCCTCATAGAACGCCCAGAATGGAGTTCCGGCACCTTTTTTGGATGGAATCTTGTAGGGTAGGCAAGGCTGGTTGTATGACGTGTGTGAGTTCCGGCACCTTTTTTTTTTTTTTAAAGAAAAAAAGCACTGACTATAACTTCCAGATATCCTCTGGCAGCAGAAAACAGAGCACTGACTTGTCCCAAATGACAGGGAAATATGATTTGAATATTGCTTCTCCTGCAGAAAAAAATTAGCATCAGCTCCCTGTTGATTGTACATTTGCTCAGAGAAGAGGTTAAATTCCAGGGATCCTCGCTCCGAAGCTCATTTTCCCCTACTCAACACATTAGTCTTTCCATGAAAAGAAATGAGAGCCAAGAATTCTATTTTTAAAACTCCTTCTGATCTCTAATTGACAAATGGCAGATGTTTCCCATGGATTAATTATAGAAAGCTGTTCCTACAGCAGTAACTATATGCCAGCTTGAACCAATCTCTTGAGCTGTAATGTTCAAATACCTGATAATTATCTTAAAATTCAAACAGAAAATTGAGCTAGTGGTTAGGAATGTGATAAGTTGTCCTTTATTAAAGATACTGAATATATTTAAAAAGTGCTTGAGTTTATGAATCTAAATAGAATTTGATGCAATTAATCTTTAGAAAGCAGCTCAATAAGAGTGATGTTATTTTTTTTGGTTATCTAAATTAATCACACAGGTTAATTAAATAATCTACAGTTGCCAGGCACTTAAAAGTGCATAAATATTCAGACTGCACCAGATGTCTCTCTCTCTCTCTCTTTCTCTTTCTCTCTCTCTCTCTCTCACACACACACACACACACACTCTTATTCTAACTGGACAGATAGAAATATATATATATATAAAAGAACTGGTAATACTGGTTTGGAAAATTGCAGCAATAACCAGAGAATGTAAAACAAACTGTAAAAAGTGGTTGCAACAAGATAAACTGAAGGATTTCAGTGCCTGACCTCTGACTGAGTACAGCAAGCTCCATATGACATTTTCCTACGCAAAGCAGCTACCTGCAGAAATCCTTGGTTTTTTTTTTTTTAAGAAAACTAAATCAAGCATGAATTTTCATAAATATATACTTGTAGTACATAGTGAGTAACATACTGAACATGGAACAAAGAAGTCTTAGTTGATTTATTGAACAAAAGATTAATTTATCTAGCCAGTGACTATATAAGATAAAATGCTTTCATCACATGTCTAAATTATCATAAGGCTGCTACTACTGTCTTAGACATAAATCCATTGATTGACTGTCAATCAATGTGGGAAAGAGCTCATGACTAGAGTGTAGCATAGCATTAGATTTATGACCAGGCATTTTTGATCGCTTTCCAGTTCCAATTATGGTCTGAAGTTGAGTATTACCTGTACTGGAAGTATACAATTTATTCAAAAGAAACAGGCCCCAAAATTGGGAGCTGGAGTTTCATCATATGTAGAGAAAGAAAAGATGAAAATCCTGCTGGAAGTGTCTGGGTGAATATTAAGGGGAAAGAAAAATGATGTTGGTGTGGACTTCAGGACACTCAACCAAGCAAAAGATAGAACAAACTGTTCACAGATGAGATGGCCAAGATATCCAGGAAATGCATCACTTTGAGAATAGGGAAATTCAACTGCCCTGACATCAACTGGGAAGCAAACTCTATGGCAACTGGAAGACCCCTATAAGGATTGAGTAGAGCTGTATTCCGCAGCTTCAGCCCCTTTAAGATGGGTGGACTTCAACTCCCAGAATTCCCTAGCCAACATGCACTGGCTGGGGAATTCTAGGAGTTGAAGTCCACCCATTTTAAAGGGGCTGGGGCTGAGAAACACTGGAGTAGAGCCAGGCTTCAGTCAGTTCAGTGAATTCAGTGTGTTAACTTTGTGGGATTGGACATTATTTCTATGGTTTATACAGTTTTTATTGTTGTTCTGTAAGCTGCCCATAGTTATGGTATACAAGATAAGTCTTAAATATATGAACAAAATAGATCCCACAGATTCTTGATGTGTTTTGTAGACAGCATCAAAGTTCTAAAAGTGGAGAAAGAAACTAGAAGATCAACTATATTGAACTTACTACTAACAACAGTCACACCTAACTATTATTGTGGTGCTGAAAACCTAGAATGACCATAGACCAGCCCCCCCCCCCCAAGAAAAGCAGTGGGAGCAAGAGTGGTTTCCTGCTGGCTTCACCATTAAGTTTCTTTCTGGGATGTTGGCAGGGCGCATCGGAAATCTTTTTTCTTCCCTGCCTCCCTCCCTCTCTTCTTCCCTCCCTTGAATTCCTGCTGGCTTTCCCATTTACTGTATATGTGGGAAGCTCGCAGGGAGAAAGTCAGTTTCAGCCCTGGCAAGTTGCAAGTCAATCTACAGTACTAGAAAATGGAAGAGGTGGAAAACACTATTAAAATTCATGAATAAGCATTACAGGTAGTTATTGATTTATGACCGTTTAGTGCCTGTTCAAAGTTAGGACAGAAAAAAGTGACTTATGACTAGTCCTCGCACTTATGATTGTTATAGCATCCCAATGGTCATGTGATCAAAATTTGGGCATTTAGCAACCAGCATGTGTTTATGATAGTTCTAGCATTCTGGAATCATATAATTGTCAATTGCAATCTTCTCAGCCAGCTTCTGACAGACAAAGTCAACAGGGAAGCTGGATTTGTTTAATGACTGTAGCAAAAAAGGTTGTAAAATCAGGTGCAATTCACTTAACGATCATCTTGATTAGCAATGGAAGTACTGTTCCCAGTTGTGGTTGTAAGTTAAGGACATCTGTACATATTAAACTGTTATTTCTGAACATGTCTCTCTGACTCATTTACATGTGAGTAGAAAGCATATTATCAGTCTGTTCATTGCTACTAATATAGTTCTAGATTACTTAGATCTCAAGTCTGGCAACTCTATAGAAAAAGGTTCCCTGGCTTGGTATAGTTATTTTCTAAAACAAGCATTCCATTCAAGAGTATGACCTATTTGCTAGTCTGTCTTGCTGGACAGGCTCTGACCTAGTACACACAATTCATCCTGGAATCTACATCTGCATGAAAGACAGTTACATGCCCTGGCCTACCTACAAAGTGAGGTTACCATACCGCTTGCGTTCTGCTTGAGAAAAAAATAGGTTTTCTCTGTAAAACAGAGAGAGAACATGGAATTCAGACTGAGAAGAGAAAATGAGGCCTTCTCCATTTCCCCAGCAGCCTTCAAAATAAGTGACTGGACTCTTTTAGACTGAGACAGAAGGAAATCTGTTTCAGAAAAAGCTTTCTTTAAAAGGATAGGCAACCCCACCCCCCATTTAGCTAGAAATATTGTATAAAATTCCGTTCTCTCTGTTTTTTAAATCCACTGTAAAGTGTCTGGAGATTATTACCTCAACTACAGTATTTGCTTTCTATATATGCTCAGTAAATTGTGCTCTTTTAAGCAAACTTGAATCTTTTTACAGCAAAGCTCCTCTAAATTAGA